TGCCCGTGAGCTAGAAGACTTGGGACCACAGAGTTTGTCAACGTCACGAAAGGTACATCCGTTGGGGACTCACATCCCGGTATTTTGAAGCTCTATCATCGTCATGTTCCCCGTGTGGAGCCCCAAAGCCCGGGCTAAGGTGTCTTACCCAATCGTATGGAGGACTCCACTCAAACTGAACTCCACATATGGTCGCTCACATTGTTCTCTAGGCTGCATGTGCCTGAAGATGTCAAAGTCGAGGCTGAGCAATTGGCTCCAGTACAGATGAGCAATGGGTGCTGACATCGCATCCTGGCAATGAAAAAGATCAAACATGTCAAAGTCGAGGCGCCAGTGGGGTCCAATGTCCTCATTTCTCCATGACTCTAACCGGGACCCATAGTTGGGGTGATCCACCAAGTAGTGGATATAGTCATGCGTGGGATCAACCAATTTGGAAAAATACCAAGTAACAAGCACCATACTTCAAAACATTTGTCAGAAAAATCATATTGGTCGGATGCCTACATGGTTATTTCACAAGGTCGGATGCCCAAAATTGTATCACAATCATTCGGGGAAAAATATTGACGCACAAAACTAGGTATTTCACATAACACGAAGGTCGCAAATGTAGGCCTAGATCATGCCAAGATGACCACCATTCAACATGCAAAAAAGTGTATCAATGATAGACAACTAAGCATAAACTTGGTGGGTATTATTCGATCCAAACAAATTAACATGCCAAATATTTCCCACCATGGCACAAATATCCCATCAATCACTTAAAAAACATGCAATCAATCATCATTCAACTACGTCCTCATCAAATTTCTTCAATCATGCAAAAATTCCAAACTACTCACCTATGAACCCTACATCTGATTCTAAAAATTGACTAAGTAAAAGTTCAAAACACACCTGGAGACACAAGTAGGATTAAATAGTAAGGTGAGGAGGATGCGAGGGTGTCAAAAACCGGCCAAAATAGTGACAAAAGAAGGACGTCGGTGCTTCACCGGAAGCTCACTAGAGTGCCACCGGAATAGTTCGTCGGTGACAAAATTGAGCCCAAATCTCTCCGTAATATCAGCAAAGGAGCGCCTAAGGGTAGAGAGAATCAGTATGTGTTTTGTTTTTGGATTGGGCAGCTGAAAGTATATTAAATCGATGAAAAAACCGTATGTAAAGATGATTTCTAACAATAATCTCTGAGTGTTCCAGTAAGGGGAACTTCACGTTTTGAGTAGACTTCACACCCAATTTATACTGCTCGAGGTTGAGGATCAAGGTTTTAGTGTTGATTTCATGGTCTCGGACCGTGATCCTAACACTTAACCTGTGATCACGGCTCAAAACGGTAAGTTTTCAGTCGGCGTCACGTTGCATTATGTTGTCACGGTTTTGCCTATGACATTTACATGTAAACCGTGGTGTTTTTGCACTTGTGACAGAAATCCCCATCAAACCATGAAAATTACCACTAACCTGTTATATGTGCAAAAACAATGGATTTCACCGGTTTTCAACTTGATCGACTCAACCGTGCCTCAAACTCAAACACAACACATTCATCGATCAAAACATCAACCATGGGCACAGTGACAATTTAAAGCACACATTTGACTCTCACACACATGCAAAAAGAGAAAAATAAGGAAAAGAAATACAAACCTACATTGTGTTTCGTCCCAACAAGCTCTTGTTTAGCTCCTTAGCTAGACGTTACAGATCTTCGTGCGTTAGAACATGAGGCCACCGAGAGTGGATATGCCACATTCTTGGGTTGAGGCTTGTCACCTCGGAATACCATTTCCAAAGGATGTCCTTCATAGCCAATCATTTTCTCCTTAACCTTGTTTTTTGTGTGGGGTAAGCGAAGATTTTTTCATCTTTTGGTTCCATTCATCCTTCTTCTTCTTTTACTTTCCTTCAGGTTTCTCACCCTTTTTTCGAATCCTTCTTCACATCATCAAAAACACGATTAGCACAATGAGGCTCGCTTTGGTAGGCTTGCCTCCACTAACAATAACACCATTCGATTCTATTTCATCCATATCCTTAATCTTATGATTTTGATCAATCGAAAAGGGGATACTCTTCTCTCCGTCCCTGAAAATCAACGTTCCCTCATTCACATCTATTAATGCCTTGGCAGTGGCTCATTAATATCCAAGATGACAAAATCTATCGGATAGTAAAACTTGTGTTTTCATATGGTTGTTAGTTTTTTTATGTTAGTTATCATTGTAATTATGGAGAAGTAACTTTGCTTGTCTCCTTCGTTGTGTAGTAGACAGGGTATATATACAAGCCTTTGAGCCACCAAGGACGTTTGCGAGATCCTTCACAAATTTTCCTTATAATAATTTCTTATAGTACCATAGTCTGTTTCAAGAGTCTAGGGTTTTCTTACCCATCACAACCGTATTCCTTTTTTTTTTTTTTTTTTTTGATAATGGTGGTAGCCTTTTATTAGTTTAAACAAAGAAAAGATACAATCGAACAAAGTACACGCACAGCAGGCAGAGGTAGAGAGCCAAACAATCGACCTGCATGCTGGAACAAAAACGAAACATTACGGAAACATTACAGGAAAGGAGCTGAAATCCAGGCCCTGTATACAAAGTAACGAAGAAGCCGAAGTGGGATAAGCCCGAATCTAGTGCTGCTGATTCTCGTCGAGGTTGTTCAACAACCTGTTAGTAGTAGAGATGTTCCTATGCAGCCGAGCCAGCCACTGCTCTGTTGTTATGGCATCAACTTTGCCACCAACTCTGAGCCATTCAGCCACCATTTGGCCGATCCTTCCGCAGACTACTTTGGGTGGACTCGCCTGGTCTTCAAATATTCTGCTGTTTCTTTCTCTCCAGACGGCCCAGCACATGGCGTGCAAGACTACGCTCGAACACCATTCTCTAGGTCCGGATGGGCATTTTTGCTGCCAGCGCTTGATGACATTCTGTATCTCTTCATCAAGTACCTGTTCACCATGGGGGATTTTCACAAATCTGCTTATTATGTACCAAACGGATCTCACAAAACCACAACGAAGAAACAAATGATTAATGTCCTCCTCGCTCGACAAACAAAGCGCGCATCTACTCGGCATGTTCCAACCTCTCTTCTTCAATGAATCATGTGTCAATATCTTCTTGTGGAACACCAGCCAAAGGAAGGTGCAAATCTTGACGGGAATGATATTCTTCCATATCACTTTAAAAGGGAAATCTTCCTGCTGACCATACTTCGCTTCCGCCATGCTCTTATATAGTGAGCCCACTGAGAAGCCGGTCAATGGTGATGGACTCCATGTCACTCTAGGTGGTCCTGCAAAATATAAAGAGATGTTGCAATCTGAAAGTAAAGTCATCAATCTCTCCCTCTCCCTCTCAGCCCCCCCCCCCCCTCTCAAGGTAAAATTCAAGGGAATATCCCAAGTAAAGCCCTCACTTTCACTCTCTCCCACATAATGGAAAATTTCAGCAACAGAGAAGTTCTTGCATTGAGGAGTTGCTGCAGCAAAGACTCTAGGGAAAGCTTGGGCGAGAGTGACCCTTTTTATCCACCTATCATGCCAAAAGGATGTCGTCATACCACCCCCCGGATCAATATTAGCGAAATCCCAAAAAATATTTTGTACTTTGCAAATATGCTTCCAAAGGCTGCATCCTGCTGAGCCACCCAAATCCCTTGTTCTCCAATCTGAATTTCGATTTGGAAACTTCATGTCAATTAGTTGCCTCCACCGAGAATTTCTATCCGTTGCAAACCTCCAATGCCATTTGCACAGGAGAGACTGATTCTGCCAAACCACATCATGAATACCGATCCCACCCAACCACTTTGGAGCCTTGCAAGTATCCCAAGCGATGAGGTGTATCTTGTGTTCATCCCCTGTTCCTTCCCAAATAAAATTCCTTATAACCTTCTCAATGTCAGCAGCCGCCTTCTTTGTGATATGGAATAGACTTGCAACGTAGACCATTTGTGATGAAAGGCAACTGTTTGCAAGGGTGATCCTACCACCCAGGGATAATAACCCCCCTTTCCATCCCTCCAGCCTTTTTTGCAATCTAACCACCATTGGCTCCCAAACAGAAGGTGATTGAGCATGAACTCCCACTGGTGTTCCGAGATAGGTTGCCGGCAGGAGTTCCCAAGAACCGTATTCCTTATTCCACCAATTTCTATAATTCACTTTCTTGTTTTCAATCATGTTGGCCCATGCTGCTAGTAGCATGTCTTATAGATTGACTATGATTCTGGTTCCTTCAAATGCAATCACAACCCCTGATCATATAAATCCTAGCGAAGCTTTAAGATCAAGGTCACTTTGTGAGACAAACTTTCTTTTAGCTATGGGGTTTTCTTTTCAATTATAGATAGTGACTGCATCATTAAATATACGTGTATATACGTATCATGAATGATTATTCAGGAGTGTTACCATTATTAAGAATATGATGTTCGATAATTGATAAAAGGTTATTATACTTTTAAAATAAAAAATAATTTCGATGTCACTTTAATGTTCTACAAAATTAATCCTTTAAAATAATGAAAAAGTTAAGATACATTTTATAAATATATACATTGTGTTCAAATGATATTTCTACCACGGGACGACGGATAAAAATTAAAAAAGAAAGAGAAAAAAAAAATAAGAGAAGTGTCCAAACGCGGATGGCTCTATCCTTCCATTATTTGCCTTCCATTTGTTGGAAACTCTACTCTACACCCATGAAGTACAAAAGGAAATGGCAAACGGAGAGAAGACAGGCGTTGGATGGTCCTACCTACTTGTAGAAACCAAGGGTCGGAGTATATTATTATATTTTTTCAGTATAACGAGTGGTCTCCTATATATATAGGACAATATAATGAACAAGTTTCTCAATACACTTCCGCTTTGGAAACTAAGCAATGAATCTTCTTCCAACATATCTGCTTCTCATCTCAGCTGCGTCCGCCTACGTCGTTTATGCCGTCATCCAATTCCTCCACAAAGTGATATGGCAACCTCTCCAGACACAGCGATTCCTCAACTCGCAGGGGCTCAAAGGCCCTCCTTACACTTTCCTCTTAGGCAACGCCAAACAACTCATCCAGCTCAGAGAGGAAGCGTTGGCCAAATCCATGCCCTCTCTTTCTCACGACATAGCCCACAGGGTCATCCCTCACGTCTCCCTATGGTCCAAGCAATACGGTAATTATTAAGGAGAAATTAAAGAGGAATCATCAATTCAAGTTGCATGTTGTGGATTATCATATGTTTACTTCTCACCTTGTTAATCAAAGGAATTTCCAATGTTTTTGGTCGAAATAGGGAAGAATTTTGTGTTTTGGATTGGACCGCGAGCTCAAATGGTTCTCGGGGAACCAGATTTGATCAAAGAGGTTCTAAGCAACAAAGCTCGTATTTTCTCTAAATCTGACCTGTATTCTCCTTACCTTCGAAAGATTTTCGGCCAAGGACTTGCGATTAGCGAAGGTGAAAAGTGGGTCAAGGTGAGAAAAATGGCGGATTTCGCTTTACATGGCGACAACCTCAAAGTAAGCTACAAGACCTCAAACTTTTCATTAAAAGCAAATTCTTTTTTATCTTTGTTTGTGTTGCCGTTTTCAATGAGGGAACATAAATAATGTTTGTGAAGTAGTGATGAGAATCCATTTGATCACAGGTCTGAATAAATCCATTCATTGAGAGTAACGACACCAGATGTTTGCCATAATTTATCGAAATGATTAAGGTTTATACTTTATACTCGAGTGGAAGGGAATTTAGCCATTTTCTAATGCGATCAGTTTAGTTTTTCTTCTTTGGCCTAATCTATCTATCTATACATAATATAATACACCGAAGGAAAAAACCGGAGTTCCATTTCAAATTTCCTGCAACGAGAGTGAAAGTAGGAAGGACATTTTGGTCTTCACAATTAATTTTTTTTATTCATTAAAAAGACATGTACTGGGATTCGAAACATGACCATTTTAAAGAAAAGCAAGGATCATAACCAATCACACTATGTACATTTGTTGTATCTTTTTAAATTAAAAACATATAATAACAAGGAGGAAAAACCCTTCCTCCATTTCAAATTCCCTGCTCCAAGAGCGTTTGTAGGAAGGGTAGAATAGGGAGTGTCAATTTTTTTCTCTTTCCTCTGTGGAACGGGCCAACTTACCGTACACATGCGGATTTAAACAGGTCGAGGAGTGTCAGTTTTTTCTTTAAACCCTTTTATTTCTCCGTGGTGATAAAATATATATGAGAAGGCAAAAACAATACTCCTTTTTATTGCTAAAAATAAAAAACTTTAACAACAAACTAATGCATGGTATCTAATGGGCTAACCGTTAACCATAAAATAAAAGAGTTGAATGGGCCTGACCTACGCGGGATTTGGCCATCAAGTTAAACAAATGAACATCATTGGGTTGTCATTCTAAAACAAGCTATTTTCTCTGGCATAATATATATTATGCTATTATTTTATATCTTAGTGACTAAAATATAATGTATTTTAAAGTTATTCAATGGTTCAACCTCGACCAACCCAATTAGTCCAATTTTTATCATTTCAAATATATATTATATAATTATTTGATATCATAATGATCAAATTATAGTGTATTTTATAGGGAATCGTTTGGTATTTGTTAGTAAAAAACTAAACAAAACGATCTATTTGGTTATTTTAAACATTAAAACGATCCCAAACATTTTCAGTTCCTTTTGAATTTTTATTGTTTAATTCCCGAATAAGTGATGTGCAAATGGCGAATTGCAGTCATCTCTTTTCTTTCACTATTTTTTATTTTCAAATAGAAAATTTAAAAGTAAAGAATAATTAGAATTTGGCATGGGTCAGTCAAACATGCTGAATTTCAAGTTTTGGCCCATTTTGATCAAGTCTAATTTATAATCACATGGTCCCTGATACCCGATAAAAATCTCAATCCAAACCAGTTTGGCTGGTGATCCTGTGTTTACCACCATTTTCTAGGGATACGACAACGACTGTTCCTATCCCAAATCGTGTTGTTCGTTCTTGATTTCCTTAGATTTTATCATGGCCTAACAAAAATCAGAAAGCACAATGACGACAAGATGAAAGTTTTATAAAGCAAATTAATCGACCAACGGGCCGAGTAAAATCTAGCAACGATTGTGAGATGCTCATTTCCCGAAAACCGACGGGATAGGCGATTTTTTATTCAATTTTCTGGAATTCAATTTCTATAAAACTTACTCCACCTCATCATATTACCAGAAACAATATTGTTTCACAAGGTAACATGTACTTGATTTTGGTTCATAAGGCCGATTTTTGATTCATTACATCATTCATAGGGCTGGTAATCGGCCGGTTACCGGACCGGTTAACGGTATACCGGATTAGGGAAAATCATTGCCGACTACCGGTACCGAAAAATAGTCGGTTTACCATTTACTGAATAGCCGGTTACTGGTTACGAACCCGGTAAATCGGTAACCCCAACAAATATGATTTTTTCTCGGCGACGAGTGGCCAATGTAATGTCCTGGCTGCGGCTCTGAAACTGAAATCAAGAGGGAAGAGAGATTTGGTCTCCCAGATGAAAAGAGCTCCGCCGCGCAAGGGAGTAACATGGCGCCGGATCTGGATTTGAGAGGGAGAGCGAGTCGCCGGCGGCGTGTGGCCAACATCTTGTCTCGGCGGTGTATCCGGATCTGGAATCAAGAGGGACTAAGCACAGCCGCGCGAGGGAGATAGCATGTCGCCGGATCTAGCCTCAAGAGGAAGAGATAGCCGCCGCGCGAGGAGTCTGCATGTAGGGGTGGGCATACGGTTCGGTAAAACCGAACCGAACCGAAACCGAATAACATTAATTCGGTTCGGAATTCGGAAGAGAAAAGGGTATATTTCGGAAACCAAGGTCCTTTCGACCGAACCAAATTTTCGAATTCCGAACCGAATTTCCGAATTACTGTAATTGCAAGTTCCAAATGGTGGATTTTTATGTTTGTACTTATTATGAGACTCAAATATTTGAAGTATGTTAGTGTTTTATGACTTATGTGTTGAAATGTTTGATTTTATCATTGATGATGCATTTAATTGCATATTTATTGTTTACATTAGGGGTGAAAAATAATTTAAAAGAGAAAAAATACAAGCTAACCTCACAAGTTCGGATTTTCATACAAAACCGAACCGAACCGAATTATAATTCGGTTTGAACCGACCTAACCGAATTATAATTTGGTTCGAATTTGGTTTGAGGTTTCTCGGAAATCCGGTATACATTATTTCGGTTCGGTTTGAACCGAACTGACCGAATGCCCACCCCTATCTGCATGGCACCCGATTTCGAGATTTGAGGCAGGGATTTATTTTGGGAGAAGGAATCAAGTCGGCTAAGGCAACGTCGCCGACAGGGCTTTGAGGAGAGAGGAATCGGGGGAGATTTTTTTGGATTTGGCAGAGGTGGATCCTGATTTCGGGGAGAAGAGGGCCTGATTTTTTGGGTTTCGTTTGCTCGGGAGTCAATTCTACCGATGAGTTATTTCTGGTAAGATTGGGAGAAGAAATAGGGATATATTTTGGTTTCGTCAAGATTGAGGCAGAGAGGAGGGAGGTGGATCCGGATTTCAGGAAGAAGAGGGAGAAGAAATCGAGAATTTTGGGGAGCAGGAGAAGAAATCGGGAGGGAGGTGGATCCGAGAACGAGAGGAAAGGGGGAAGGAGTTGGAGTGGTTTGGTTTTTGCCGAGATTGTGGGTAGCAATGACAGAGAGGGCGGAAATAAAGAAGGGAGATGGATATACCGGTTATTTTATCGGTATTCGGTTAACACACCGGTTATTGAAAGTGGTTACCGGTTAGCCGAAAGAGACAACATGCTATTCGGCAACCGTTCGAAACACCTATAACCGGTTAACGGTATAGCAGGTAACCGGCGGTTACCGGTTCGGTAACCGGAAAACGTTTACCACCCCTAATCATTCAGCCGTTTACCGAACGTTCGGTAACCGGTTATACCGTTAACCGGAAAACGTTTACCACCCCTAATCATTCATGTCTCTTTCCTGCTAAAATTCACTATTTTTATCACGAGCTTCCCAAAAAAAACTATACAACAATAAACTATACACCCTATTACATTATCAAATTTCATACCTCACCTTTCTCCGGCCAACTGGCCGGGGCCCACGCTATTACCAAAAAAGGGCCCATAGTTTAGGCTTTAGGTCACTTGTACCCTATGTTTATAACGCGTCACTTTTTTCCCGAAGTTTGGTCTCCGTTAACTTTGACCGTTAGTGGTCAACAGTCAAAATTTTGACTAACGATGTGGCATATGATATGCATTTTTTTTGCCACATCACTTTATATAAAATAAAATAAAATAAAAATAATAGTTATAAATAAAATTGGATATTTATTTAAATAATAAAATAAAAAACCAAAATATTACCGCAAAGCCACGATTTACAAACCCAAAAATTTTGTTCTTCCCCCCTGCTCCTCCTTCCTGCCGCCGAGCACCTTCTTCCCATCGACAAAGACAGATGGAAACGACTCGATCTGGTCGGCGGCTTCCGTTCTGGTATAAAGGAGCGAATCAGCGGATGTAAGCAGGGGGAAGCAGGACCTGAATCAGCGGCGAGCTCGATTGCAGAGCAAAATTGGGCGGCGGCGAGCTCGATTGGGCGACGAGCAGGCCCAGCTATAGATCGACAGTGAATCGAGAGACCCCGGCCTGGTGGCATCGATTTCATCTGATTTAACTTAACCCTACTCTTCGCGATGTTGGCGTAGACGGAAAACCAGCCTGGATCTGGCGGCGACTCAGTTAACTCCGGAGAAGAGATCGAGCGGTGTGAGATCTGGTGAAGACTCGTGGCGGAAGGAGCCGCGGCCGAGGACGACGGGAGTCCATGAGCTGTACCGCTGACGGTGATGCGACGAGCTCCTGTTGTTGTGAAGTTGGCGGTGATGCGAAAGAGTGGGAGCGGGCACCGGAGATCCGCCACAGCCCACAGAGGCTTGTAGGATAACCTTTACAAAAGCTCGATCTGCATAGGCTTGAGGGAAGTTGAGGAGAAGCTGGGAAAGTTCTTCTTTTTAATAATATTTTTTTAATGATCGAATTTTTTTCTTTTTAATAATATTTTTTAACTTTAATAAATCTTTCCTAGGTGTCGTTGACGTGGCAAACACGTT